TCAAGTGTGTCAGTGGTAATGAGGTTGGCCCAGGATCAGACATTGTTTTGTTCTGCTGTGCATGGAGTCGCTATGAGTCAGTTCCAACTCAATGGCACCTGACAACAACAACAATATAATGTGGGGATCAAGAGACTATCCAAGGTTGTTAAAACAAAAGATAGAGACTCCAATGCATCATGTAAGATTACAAAGGTAACTATGATAGTTAAGGTTTGGTACCAACCTTACTGGACCAGGATTCTCAGTTGCTGAGCAGTTAAGATGTACTTATCACCTCCATGATGACATCTAATAGAATACATTTATCCCAGGAAATGACCTGATGTAATCAATTCTAATATGATATAATTATTCAATAAATTCTATGTCCTCACTTCTAGAATGTTACTGGAGTCATGGTGTGCTACTGTTGAATAATGAGTTGAACTATAATGTCAGTTTGAACCACAAGATCGGTGTTTCAAACCCACCAGCCTTTCCTCGGAAACCCTATACAGGATCACTATGGGTCGAAACCAACTAGACGGCACTCAACAACAGCAACAAAAAAATGATGTTAATGATGTTAGACACAATCTACATGATTAGGTTATATCTTGAACCAGTCTCTTTTGAGATACGAAAGAAGAGAAACCTACTACCATCAAGATAGAAGAGTCAAGAGTGAAGTGCATCCTTTCTTCTGGAATCCCTGCATTGTGAAGTTCCTAGATCCAGGGAAAGATTGATGTCAAGATGTATGAAGAACTCCAAGGAATAGTGAGCCTACAGAGGGTGAAAGAAGATAAGGACCTTTCTGTAGAGTCAACAGAGAGCAACTTTCCTCCACAGCCAGCACTCTGAATGGAACCTTCTAGCCCCCTGCACTGTGAGAGAATCAATTTCTGGTTGTTAAAGCCCCACCACCACCACCACTACATCACCACCACCACCATCACCTACCACCACCACCACCACCACCACTACTACCTTGTGGCATGTCTGTTATGGCAGCATTATATTACTAAGATGGTAACTTTATAGGAGCCAAAAATATTGATGTGGCTATTAACAAGGAGAAAGGAAGTGGGATGGGATGAAGTAAGATAAAGTCTCACCTAAGATTAGGACGTCAAAAGATAAATACTTAAGTTAGCAAAGAAATGACAATATAAAACATTATTTCTGTTGTGCAGAGATAAGGAAAGATCAATAAGAACTAAAAGTAGAAATCGTTCAAAGGAATTGTTTAGAATATAATTCAAAAAAGTGTCCTATCAACCTGGAGCAACTAGAGGAACAGAAGATACTTCTTGAAAGAAAGGCCAGCAGGAAAACTTCAAAACAAAAATGGCAGTCTGATTGGCTGAAAACAAGCAAGTTGTTCCCTGGGGAGCCATCAAGGCAAGCAATCAAGTCCCTTCAGGACAAACCCTGCTCCAAGACTGAAACTCAAAGGAAACACACAAGCAGACATATAAGCTTGCTGGTGACCCCAGTGGTCTACTGGTGAGTGGAAGATGGGGAAAGGCAGCAATGAAGAAATGGGCTGTGTTCCACCATGTTCCACAGACTCCTGTTGACCTGGAGATGAGAGAGAGAAAAGGAAGTGTGGTGAGACCTGGGGACTCCTGAGACCATGGGCAAGGATATACATAGCCACAGAGGGCTAGAGCTAAAAGTGAAGGATCCAGCTGATATGAAGTGAGGGGAGATGCACAAGGACACCCAAACTTGTAGATTGTACCCATTTGACCTAGCCTAGATGGCTTCATAATCAGAACTTGACTAGAGGAAGATAAAAAAAATTTTCGATGAAGGAAACAAGTGTAAATTGCTACAATTTGATGGACTTGACCTATACTTATGGATATAGTAGCTCAAAATACCAACTGAGAGGGAAGGAGTCTTCACATCAAGGATCAATCTCATCCCCTCTGTACACAGGGTTGATAGGGATGGACAACTTAGACATTGGCTACCTAAAATGGGGAGTTATAAAGGCATGAAGTGACTGGCTTACAAGAGGGAGCTTAGTTTCAGAGTGTGCAGGAAAAGGTAGAATCCCTACTGAATAGTTTTCACCTTGTCTAGATGGGTCTGGTGAAAGGAAATGGGGATAAGATTCTTATGATTCAATAGTGAGTAATTGTTATCATGACTAATTACGACTGTCACAACTGTAAAGGTAGAAGTTTTGTAACAAAAAGGGGAGAGTAGTTAATCTTACATTTCAGGAACAGAGGAACCTAGGACCATAAGAGGAATGTAGGACCCTATCCAGAGAACCAGCTATACCAGAGATGGTGACATGGAGAGAGCAGCTGAGGACTCCAGACTCATGGAAAGAGAAAGGCTGTGTGCTGGTGGTCATGAGGCAGGCTTGCAGAATGTGCCCCTTGGTTGTTTAAACAATTACATATTCCTGAGTGTTGTTGTGTACATCGCCCTCCTCAAAAGAAAAAACCAGAGGGAATAGAAGCAAATACTGTTGAATGATGATGCACGGAGGAGACTGTAATCATTGCAATGAAACGATGAATGTAAAACTGATGTTTTCCCATGTAAACAATCACTCAATTCATAATAAAAACTGTAATTAAAAAAAAGTCCAAGTGCTTTAGGTCATTGACTAATGTTGAAGGTTATATAACAAAATATTAATTGACATAGATGATAAACAGATTCCTTTCTCATCTTACATAGGTTATAATGGGGATTCTTCTCCCCCCCACCATCTTGTTTTTGGAATTTCGTACCTACGATGACGTCTTGTATCAAACATCCAAGGAAAATGAAGATGGCAAAGAGAAGGAAGAGGGAACCATGGTCAGTGTTACCCTTGGACATAAGATGGTAACTTGCTCTCATTTCCCAAATTGTTGTCATTTCTCTTACCATGAATTTCTAACTCTCAGTACTTGGAAGATATCTTTATTTGTTACTTTAAAAGGCACCCATCTATTAAGTATTGTGCATCCCCCTTTAACAACCTGTTGCTTTATGCTGTGCTCTATTTTCCAGGGTGCACATGCAGACGCTGATTCAAGGAAGGGGGATGAGGAGAATGAGTACAGAAAGCAAAGAAGTATTCCCATTGGAACAAAGATCTGTGAATTCTATAATGCGCCCATTGTCAAGTTCTGGTTTTACACAGTAATGCAATAATGCCTTCTCATTAGCATGCAGCTATTTTTTGTGGGTGCTTTGTTTTCTTTTTAATAGTTAAACAACAACAACAAAAAAACTCCATTGACCTCAAGTTGATTCTAACATATATTGAACCGATAAAGGTTTTCTAAGACTGTAAATCTTTATGGAGTAGACAATTTTATCTTACATAGAACAACTGGTGGGTTTGAACCATCAACCTTTTGGTTAGCAGCCCAGCAACTAACCCACAGCCCCACCAGGACTCCTTCTTTTAATAATTGGATAATGTCAAAGTCAAGAAAAAACATCAAAGGCTTTTAAAAGTCTTTAAAACTTAATAGACTTGAATTATGAAAACAAAACTAGGACTAGTGGATAACTAACTAAAACAGAATCAGCTATCTTGTCATGTTGTTGTTGTTGTTGTTGTTTAGTGCTGTCAAGTCGGTTCCAACTCATAGCAACCCTGTTTAGGGTTTCCAAGGAGCGGCTGGTGAGCTTGAACTGCCAACTTTGTGGTTCAACACAACATTCCATCCAGTGCTTTATCCCACAGTTTCATACATGTGTATGTATTATAGGTAGGAATAGGAAGCCTAGTGGTAGGGCAGTTAAGCATTCAGCTGCTAACTGAAGGTCAGTTCCAAATAAGAAAGATGTAGTAATTTGCTATCATTAACACTTAGCGCCTTGGATCCCTACAGGACAGGGTCACCATGGGTTGGCTCCCATTCGACAGTAATAGCCATTCTAGCCATAAATACATCATTTCATAAAGCAAATTAGTTACATTGTATGTACTTAAGTTGAAGGATTTTTAAAAAAATATTTCAGAAATGGGACATTTAGAAAATTTTATTTTATTTTTAAGTGAACAAAGTGACCATTTTTTAATGGACGGACTCACAGATTCTAGCAAGCAGGGCTGAGCCTAGATTATAAACTCCAAGAATAAGAGAGGAAATCAAGGCTTCTCTTCTCTGAAGTGGACCCCAAGCTGGTCAGTCACAGCATCCTGCAGCCTTTCTAGCAGCCACTGTCTTGACAGATCAAGATGGCATGGCATGCCCACAGGAGCAGCCTCAGGGGTGGCCAGGGAGAGAGTGTTCAGTCCCATGGTCCAGGATCCACCGGGGAAATCCCAGGTATCAAACCAAAGCCCACAGCAGGCAGGCCCTGGCACCAGGATTCCATTTGACTGGATGGGATAAAATGATGGGACTTGAGAAGCCTGCTCCCAGCCTATGGACTGGGCAGTGGGTGAGGGTGAGTGGTGGGTAAGGAGAAGAAAAGCTCTGGGGACGGCACCTCAGAGCTGCTCAAGGACTCAGGGGAAACTTGGGCTGGCAAATGGCAGACACTCAACCTTTTGGTCACCATACCTGATGATGAAGGTGAAGCCTCTGTCATCCACTCTCTTCAGCTCAGAGTCAGCTGAGGATCTGGGCTGAGCCCAGCTGCAGAAGAGCTTGACCATTGGTATTGCTGAACATGGTCAGCCAGCAAACGCCATCCTGAGCTTCTCACCAAACCCTCTGAACACAATCTCTAGACATGAGGGAAGATGTCTACACATTATATAGCTTTCCTGAAGATTCTGACATACCTAAAAGTGTGAGAACTCTTGTTCTAATCATCCCACAAGGAATAGATGGTGGATACAGGGAATTTTACCATCAACCTCAGTGGTGGATTCAGGTTTTATTGGACCTAAAATTTAGATGGTTTGATGGATGGGATTTGGGGATGGGGAGAACATTTTTTAAAAAACCACAAATATACAATTGCTAGGGCTTCCTCAAGACTTGAAGCCTTGGTGTGGCACTAAAGAATAAACACTGGACCATAATGTTGGTTTGAACCACAATAGCAGTTCAAACCCACCAGCAGCTACTTGGAAACTTTATAGGGTCCCACTGAGTCAGAACCAATTCTATGGCCCTTAACAACAACACCAACCCAAGACTTTGGAAGGGAACTGTCCCAGTAAGTGTGCTGAAACCAAAGCTTTGTCAGCTTAACAGTGACTCATTCCACACAACCTCCCTCCATACCTCACCCACCTTCCATCTCCAACTCAATCTTTTCTCATCATGAAGATCGAGGGAACCCTAGTGTAGCACAACACACAGCATATCACTGCTAACCAAGGGAATTCATTATGCTCCCAATCAGACAACCCATCAAGAGCATCTGTCTTCTCCCACCCTCCCATTAGTGGTAAAAGATTCAAGAGGGGAATTTTCCAGCCAGTGAGGAGGAAGTAAATTTTCCAGTTTCCAAGAATATAAGAGACATGCTATTAAATTATTAAAAGTTTCATTATCATAACTTTATGCAAATTCATACCTTTCCCCTGAGAACGATTGTATGAATACATCTTCATGCAATAAAAAAAGAAAGAAATATCAAAGCTCACATCTTGATAGAATGCCTCTCAACCTGCTTTGAATTTCACTACTGCACTGGTGACTTGAACAGAAGGCTTCTTCTAAATGAGTCCGTCACGTTGTAAATGAAGATTTGATTCAGAAGACGTGTCAACCTCAAAATAGATTTTCAAAACCATCTTTTCGCACATTACCAAGTACCACTGACAACTGCTTTTTCTTTCAGCTCTCATACTTGGGCTACCTGCTGCTGTTTAATTACATTATACTGGTGCGGATGGACCGTTGGCCCTCATTCCAGGAGTGCGTCGTCATCTCCTACATTGTGAGCCTGACCCTGGAGAAAATCCGAGAGGTAAAAGACTCTAAACACCCATCCCAGCCCCATTAACCACTGGCCTCAAATTAGATACAGCTTCTTATTGCAAAAACATTTTATAAACATTATACGTGCCATGAGAATTTTCTCTCAGAGTGTCACGTTCTCAAGTTTATTTCCACTCACTATTTTTCTGCTTGCTGCTGAACTTGAAAAAACGAGCAAATCAAGACACAAGGCAAAATAAATGATGGTCAGTGATAAAACAGCTTGGAAATGTTCTGGAACCTGAAATGTACCAACTACTATAACTGGATACAGATTTGGGCTCAGCTTTCTGGAAGTCCAAACTAGAAATACAGAGATGCAGGAGATGAAATATTTCCTGTGACTTGGGAACCTGAGTTGACTGTTTCAGGTCAGGTGCCTCAACCTGTGCTGGGAAATCTTGTACAAGTGATTTATTAAGGAAAGAGAGGAGTGGGTACTAAGGTGAAGGGTGGTCTGAAGTGGAATATGGCCCCCCACCTAGTCCTGAGACGGCTCTGAGTGTATTGACTCTGTTTCACTTTGAACCAAGGGAGTAGATTTCTATAATCCACCTCCATATGCCATTGGTGCCAACTAGAGACACACCCACTGCGTTGGGTCCATTCCAACTCATAACAAGTTCCTAGGAGAGAGTAGAACTTCCTCATCGGTGTTCTAAGGCTATAACTCTTTATGGGAGCAGACTGCCTCACTGTATCCTATAGAGTAGTTGGGGGTTCACATTGCTGGCTTTTCAGTTAGCAGCCCAGTGCTTAACCCTCTGCACCATGGAAAGGAGGCTCCAATTACCCAAGGACAAGCCTCCTGAGGAGGTGGTAGGTTTGAGTCTAACTGTAGTACAGCAACAGGTGGGGATAGGCACACACACCTGGTGAAAGGACCCAAGGTGTCTGGGCAGGATGTCAGAGCATCTGCTGCAGAGAAAACAGTATTTTCAACTAAATGTTGAAAAAGAGCAGACCCTATCTAATGACCTCTGTAGGGTTTCTAAGGAGTGGGAGTTTAAAATGCAGACTTTGCCGCTCAAACTGACCTTGTGGCCCAGTGCTTGGTCTACAGCGCCACATCAGGATTCCGACCCTAGCATTGTCATTGTTGTGAAGTGCCATAGAGTCAATTCCGACCCATAGCGACCCAGTGGGGTTTCCAAGTAGCAGCTGGTGAGCTTGAACCACTCACTTTGCAGTTCAAACAACTTTGCAGTCTGATGCATTAGCCCACAGTGCCACACCAGGACTTCAGACCCTTACATTTCAGAGTGTTTAATACTAAAGTGTAAACCAAAGAGGCAATCTCTACAGACGACAGAGGAAACATGGGCCAGGTACTTTTCTTTCTAATATAATCTGAAACTTTTACTTCACTAGATTAGTTTATGAAGAGAAAGTTTTTATATAAGAAAAAAAAAAAACAAATAAAAAACTTGAGCCAAAAGAGCAAACAACATAATTCAGATTCTTTCTCCAGTTGATATAGAATCAGTATCATTATTTTGCAGACTCTTGGTGTGGTGCTGTGGGATCAACACTCAACTGCAAACCACAAGGTTAGTAGTTCAAACCCACCCATAGCTCCTCAGAAACCCTATACAGAGACACTATGACTCAGAACCAACTGAACAGCACTTAACAACAACAACACTATTACTCTGCAGTTAATACTGACCCTCTTACTGAACTAGAAACTATGACTGAGAATCTCTACCAGGTAGACTGAGTTTGATGCCAATGGTGTCTAACAACAATGAGTCTCCAGTGAAAAATCTGAAAATCCCTGGGTGGTACAAATTGTTTGCATGTGGCTACTAAACTGAAGGTTGGAGATTCAAATCTACCCAGTGATGCCATGAAATGAAGGCCTGGTGATAACTTCTATAACAGAACAGCCAGGAAAACCCTCTGGAGCACAGCTTTGTTCTGAAACACATGGGGTCGCCACGATTGAAGTCCACTGAATGGTAATGGTTTTTTAACGAGAGCCTGACTAACCAAAAAGTTGTTGTTGTAAAGTGTCGTCGAGTTGGTTCTGACCCATAGGGACCATGTATAGGGTTTCCAAGGAGTGGCTGGCTGGTGAGCTTGAATCACCAACCTTGCAGTTCAAACGACTTTGCAGTCCAGCACGTTAACACACAGCACCACACCAGGAAGCTGCTCCTGAATTATAACCTGTTATTTCCCTAATAAACTCCTTAACTGTGAGTACTGTCTATGAGTTTTGTGTTTTGTGTGGCCATTGCAATGAACTAACAAACCCAGCAGAGAAGGAAGGAATGACTGGGAGGAATAATTGGTGTCAGAATTGCTAAGGGGGAAAAAATGGATGGAGAACGGAGGCAAGTCTGACCTGGGCCTCAGAGGAAACAGCTAATGTTGATTCATCCCCTTCTGAAGTTAGAAGAGTGTGGTACCCTGCCCTACTATTATTAGAATGTCCAAACCATGCTGCTTGTTCCATTTTTCCAATTCTACTCTGAGGAAGTGTCCTTTTCCAGAACTACTGCAGGAGAAAATCAAGTTCAATTTTCTCCTGACCTCTCACATCTGAGTTCCAAAGGAAATTTGCCAAAAAAATATCTCCAAGTCTAATTCTGCCATATCCCTTGGGGTGGACTCTCTGTTTTCTCTCCTATGCCAAGTCTGCAATATTAGCTAGCAAGCACAGGTCCAGATCATTTAGAAAAAGAAATAAATAAAAACAAAAAGTCTTTAAGCACAGTCAGAAAGATGTAATTTAGAAGGCATTTCCTGATAGCAATATTCATAAAACACTGAATCGAGAAATACAGAGGACTCCTTGGAATTCCTCTGTCTGGACCTCATTCTCTGCCTGAGAAGATTGGTGTTTAGAGCAGGAAATTGGGCCAGATACCCTGGAATGTTCCACCAGTCCTATCCGTCCACAAGTCCAAGAAGACGGGGCTGCCACACAACACTCCTAGTTTATGATTTCTTTGGGGTTTGTTTACAGATCCTCATGTCAGAACCAGGCAAGCTCAGTCAGAAGATAAAAGTTTGGCTTCAGGAGTACTGGAACATCACTGACCTTGTGGCCATCTCTGTGTTCATGATTGGAGCTATCCTTCGCCTACAGAACCAGCCATACATGGGCTATGGCCGAGTGATCTACTGTGTGGACATCATCTTCTGGTATATCCGTGTCCTCGATATCTTTGGTGTCAACAAGTACTTGGGTCCCTACGTGATGATGATTGGAAAAATGGTTAGTACTAACATTTTGGCTGCAGTTGGACATGCGTCTAGGCCTTGGGCTAGGTGGCTTTTGGAGATCCACCTGGTCTTTCATCTTCAGGTGGTTTCTTACAAGAAACATTCTTTGCTCCAAGATGCACAGTTAATAAATTCATAAAAACCAGTTGATAAACATGAGTTGAGAACCACATGTTAGGCATGAGAAGGGAAACGAAGATAGATATCGACTCTTCTTTTCAAGAGTAGCTGAGTTGTCTAGTACTGCTACGACAGAAATACCACAAGTGGGTGGTTTAAACAAATAGAAATGTATTGTCTCACAGTGCAGGAGACTAGAAGTTCAAATTCAGAGCACTGGTTCTGGAGAATGGTCCCTGTCTCTTTTAAGTAGGTGTCATAGTGGTTACAAATTGGGCTGCGAACCTTAAGATCAGCAGTTCGAAACTACCAGTTGTTCCGTGGGAGAAAAAAGAGTCTTTCTGCTCCCGTAAAGATTTACAGCCTCAGAAGCCCTGTACAGGATTGCTATGAGTCGGAATCGACTCCACGGCACATAACCACCGACACCAGGCCCAGTATTCCTTGGAGTTCTCGATGTGTCTTGACATCAATCTTCCTCTGAATGTAGAAGCTTCACAAATCAGGGAATCCCTGGTCCAAAGGACACACTCCACTCCTGGCCCATCTGTCCTGGTGGCAGTAGGTCCTTCTTTCTCTGCTTACTTCTCTCTCCTTTTATATCTCAAAAAAGACTCACTCTAACTTTGTAGATTTCATCTGACTCATTAGCATCACAGAAGTAAAGATCTACAACACATAGGATAATCATATCCAAGCACGGCTGATCACATCAGATCACCTCAATGGGAGGAGTGATTACATTACTTATATCTGATCATGGGACATTATTTCATATTAATTGCTGAACCACTGAGAATCCAAGCCCAGCCAAGTTGAAACAAAACTTTAACTAGGAGTTTCCAACCTAGTTGGAGAGAACAGTTCCGACACATAGCAGTCCTGTATAGGGTTTCCGAGGAGCAGCTGGTGAGCTTGAACTGCCGATCTTGCAGTTCAAACCAACTTTGCCGTCCAGTGCATTAACCCACAGCACCACACCAGGACTCCAGAGGAAACATAAGGTCATGATAATTCAAATAAGAATAACAAAGTTTAAGCTAGAGTTCAAGGTAGCAATTGAATAGTTGCCATGATGACCATAATTCATACTGGCACCCTCAGTTGCTCAAAGTGGATGTCTTCAGAAAAGCGTCACCAAGTGAAGATGAATGGGAGGCAGATTTTGGTGTTCACATGAGTCTATTCTCCTCTGGGAACTGGATGAGGGCAGGTCTCAGAGCAGAAATTTAGAAGGAAGCTGTGGGTTAGGCAATTCTGGGGAGGCCCACAGTGAGGCAGCAGGGGGCACCTCAGTCCCCAGGCAGGACCCAGTGACGAAACAATCTTGCTCAATCAAGACAGTGATGCTGGTGGACAGATAGTTACTGTCTCAGGAGTACTGTCCTGGGTTACATAGGAACCCAGGAATGCAGAGTCCTAGAGAAGGTCCTGCTATCAGAACTGGGCAGAAAGAAGGCTCTACCACAAACAACAATGTAAAGACCCAGATTCATGGGCCAGGTGTTTGACCAAAGCAAGCCCAATAAAAGATCTGGCAAGGTGTGTTCTTTCTTTTTTTTAACTTTTCCTTGGAAATTGAGTGAAGGTTTACAGAACAGGTCATCAGTTTTACACTCAACAAATCATATACTTTGATCATTACAAGGATTGCAATCCCCTCCCATGTACCAACATTTAACAGTATTTACCCCTATTCACTTTAATATTACTTTCCCCTGTGTCTCCTACTCATCTTTTCTTCTTGTTGTACGTTGCCTGCCCTGTCACCTATGTTGACATGTGTCTACCCTCTAGCCCGTGAATAATTTTCCCTTCCCCACACCAGTAACCATCCTGGATTGCTTTTTCTTCTTCTTTTTTTATACTTTGAATCAATTACATGTTTTATTTCATTTTGTTGATTACACTCTCCTCCCAGTAACAACAGTTACTGCTTCTACTGTGTGGCTTCCCTTTTACAACTTATTTTTCCCAAATGAGCAAAGCAAAAAGATTTATTGTACACATTCAAAACAATATATATGTATATTCATTTAAATGCTCAAAGGGCACATTTTGCAAGCCAGCCTCCTGCCCGCAGGCACACAGTCTTTCTCAGTCCATGGGCTTAGAGTCCTTAGCTCCTCTATCTCTCTGTGCCGTTGCCTCGGCCACCATCTCTGCTGTCACTGCTTTTCTGGGCAAGATCGCAAGCTCCACTCATTCTCTTCCTTTTTGGATAGTCCTGGAGTCCTCTGTTCCTGAAATGAAAGATTAATTACTCCCATCTTTTAGTTACACATCTTCTACCATTAAAGTTGTACAATTAACCTGATATAATTTACAACTGAATCATAAAATCCTATCATCATCATCATCATTTCAGAATATGGACTGAAAGAGGGAAGCTATTCAGTGCATATTCTACCTTACCCTCTTCATTCTGAAGTTTAACACACTCATGAAAGCTTATAAGCCAGTTGCTTCTTTGCCTTTATAGGCCCGCATTTTTGTTAGCCAGTGTCTAAGTTGCCTGTCCCTATCAACCCAGTGCACTGAGGAACAAGTTTGATCCTTATTATGAAGAATTTCTATGATTTCAGTTAGATTTTGAGCAATTGCATCTATAAGAAAAGATCCAGTTCATCAAATTGTAGCAATTTAATGCTTGCTCACAGTTATCAAACTTCTTTGTCTTTGTCTGGTTGGGTTCTGGTCAGCTAGTCATCCACTCTAGGTCAAATGGGTATCATATGCAAGTTTGAGAGTTCTCACATGCTCTCCCACACTTCAGACCAGCTGGTCACTTCACTCTCAGCTCTATCCTCCAGTGGTTAGATCAGTGTCCATGGGCTTGGGAGTTCACATATCTCCCTAAACTTCAAACTGGCCAGACTTTCCTTTTCTTGCTTTCAACTCAAGGTTAATGAGTATTAATGGAACATGGGCAAACTCAGGCCCTGTCTTCATTGCTGCATTTCCCCGACTTCCACTCACAAGTAGAGTGGGATGGTCAGCAAGGTGTGTTTTTGGCCACCTATCTATAGTCCTGCTGACAGAAAAGGGCACAGTGCTCCCACCTCAGAATCAGACCAATACCATAACTGAGGAGGTGTAGTCCTCTTTCAAGATTAGGGGTCACCTGCAAGGGACACCAGGTGATGGAAAGAAGGTCAGACCATTTACAAATTAATTTCTGTTTTAGGGTTAGAAATGCATTAACGTTGCTGTTGTTAGGTGTCATAGAGTCAGTTCTGACACATAACAGCCCTGTGTACAACAGAACTAAACACTGCCTCGACATGTGCTATCCACACAATTGTTGTTACACTTGAGTCACTGTGCCAATCCATCTCATTGGGGATTTTCTACTTTTCCTCTGACCCTCCACTTCATCTGTTTATTCTTTTGGCAGCCCATGGTACTTTCAATTTTCTCCTCCAACACCATAACTCAAAGGCATCAATTTTTCTACAGTCTTCCTTATTCACTGTCCAGGTTTCACATGCTTATGAGGTTATTGAAAATACCATAGCTTGGGTCAGGTACACCTTAGTCCTCAAGCTGACATCTTTGCTCTTCAACACTTTAAAAAGTTCCTGTGCAGCAGATTTGCCTAATGCAATACGTCATTTGATTTCTTTACTGCTGCTTCCATGAGTGTTGATAGTTGATCCAAGAAGAATGAAGTCCTAGACAATGTCAATCTTTTCTCCGTTGATAAGAATGTTGTTTACTGGTCCAGTAGTGAGGATTTTTGTTTTCTTTACATTGAGATGTAATCTATACCAAAGGCTGTGCTCTTTGAGCTTCATCAGTAAATACTGTAAGTACTCTTCACTTTCAGCAAGCAAGGTTGTATCATTTGCATATCGCAGGTTACAAAGTTTAGCCCCAGAAAACCACTGACAATTCAAAGACAGAACTTTCTTTATTTCCAACCAGAAATCACTCTTCTCTCTCTCTCTCTGGGAACATCTGGAGTGAGAACACATTAGATGGAGTAGCTTTTTTCTGCCCTTCCCATCACCTCTCTATCCTTCACCCCAAATCCCTGAGATGATAAGTAA